TAGTAAGATACAAAGAGGGCAATCGAAATCCACATGGGCGACCTTTGTACTTCAATATTAAAAAACTTGAAGACAAATAGTTTTATTTAGACCCAACGTTTATATTCCAACTTCTATTTCTTAGGTTGTCAGAATTCCGAGGATCGCGTATATTTAATAGTTTCCTAGACCAATTACAGATGATGTATTACGTAAAACGGGGTCATGGATGCATCGCTAGACGAGGGCGAGACGGAATTAGACGATATATTTTAGAATACTTTGTTTTTAGAGTGTAATGACTAGCCCAATGCTTGGTGACCCTGATTCTGTCAGTAAGTAGGTAAGTACTTCTTTATCCCTTGAAAATCATGGAGGTCTCTCAATTTATTCCTCTGAAATTTCCAGAAGGGCGTTGACTTTTTGTGTCCAGCACAAGTTTGTTAAGAAAACTGGAAAACGTGACTTTTATTCGGTCAAGTTCGGATTTATCTAGTCAACTGCTACCCTTAATATCAAAACTAAAGCACCTGCATTTCAAACAGCTTCCGAGGACTTTTAGACTCTTTCAAAGAGATTGGAGTCGGTCTTATAAACGCACGACTGACGCCCTGCTAAAAACATCTTATTTGGAAGAACTCACAGTTCAAAAGTTATTTAAACTGACCTACAAAACGGCTATTTATCTGACGAATATTCAATTGGTTGCAATTTCAGGAAACTAACTGATGGATGATGTAAACGTGCTCTCGAGTGTTGACGTGACTTGGCAAGCGTTTGGGAAGTGGGGTTGTCTCCCCAAAGGGGGTAGATCGATAATGTATGGGCAGCAGCTGTTAGATAACTACCGCAGGTGTAGTTCTGGAAGTGTATACTGACTGAATTTCTTGCGCTCCTTCTCAGCACTGGCCCATTTATTGTCCTGAAGCAGTGGTAGGCTTAAAGAAATACTGGGACGTGTAAAAGTATCATCACCATCATCATCATTACAGCCACAGGACGTCCACTGCTGAACATATGCCTCCCCCAATGATTTCCATAGGGGCCGTCCATAAATTACGTCATCGATTTTTTCAGATTTTAGACCCCCCCCCCCCCCTTTACCGTCATCCGCAGACCAACCCGCCCCCACCTAATTTAGAATGACGTAATATATGGACGGCCCCATATCGCCCGGTTGGTAGCGGCCTGCATCTAGCGCCTTCCTGCTACCTTTGTGAGGTCGTCGGTCTTAAAAGTCTATTTGCAGAGAATAAATGAATGACCTTTAAGACATTTTATGTTCGCCAATCTGCGATGCAAGATTCTTGCATCCTGGTGTCGAATTTCATGAGCCATAGGTTGGGATTTGGAAGGTTTAACGTGTACTTTCTTTCAGAATCAGTATAATTAAGATGAGCACGCTGAAATCGCTGAAAACCGGCCTGCGCATACGCAGAGGAAAGCAGCAATGGACAGATGTAAGCGCTGGTTTATACATTTGCAATATCAATGACTTAGACAAGTCATTGTGTGATAGTACAACAAACACACGTAGTACAATGAAAGTAAATTGTAATCCATTATACAATACAATAGTGCAGTCTCCGGCGGATGGACTGTTTTATAAACATCCATTCACGTTCCTTTGTACTATCCTTATTACAATACCACCTGATGCTACAACACTGTTATAATAAACGCAGACTCTTTCATACGCACGAGAAAATTGTCATTACAAGCTATTTAGCAGTTAAATTAAAGGCTAGTTTAGTTTCGATTCCTAAATAAAATCCATTTGTCGTTCCTTTTACCATAAAATAAAATAGGACTTTAACATTTTCAGGTTCACTGCTACGGGACTATTCCCAATTCTCGTTCCCACCGCTGGTGTAGCCAGGATCTACAGCTTGACCGCCAATAAAAACCCAACCAGTGAAGGTCAAGTTTGTCCCGGGGGAAAGTTAAACTGTCATTGGACCTACAACGAAACTAATCAGAAGAACATAGGAGGAGTTCGAACGGTCACTGCTAGCAGTGTTTGTTTTTTAAGATTAGTAGCTCGTTGTTTTTGGCGCCTAGAGCAACTATCCCTCTCTTTCTACCCTCTGAGAGATACATAACCTACGGATTTACGTACACATTAGAGTACAAATAGGAAACGATCTCTTTTACATATAAGTACATACGTGGTTTAAAGGCAGGAAAAACAAAAGAATAAACGGAACGAATTAAGAAATAAAAAATTGTCCTCATTGTCTATAACTTTAACCTCGCCAATGAGAAGTTACGACCAGTTGCGAAAGAAGCCCTTGCGCATAACATAATACGCTCTATTACCCCATATAACAAGCTAGTTTATGTGGACAAGTCAATGTGCCATAACAAATCGGATTATTCCAGCGTTAAACCACAATGGAAGTACACTCGCGAGAGTTCTTTTCGTATGATATTATGACCGATAGAAAAAACCCGTCCAACAAATTAGGAACATAAACGTTTCGTACCACTTTAATGGCGACGGGAAAGCGTAGTGGGGGCAGATCTCCCACTAGGTGGACCGACGATCTGGTGAAGATCGCGGGAAGCCCATACCATAGCCACGTACCATCCCTATATTGTTGACATTCCACCAGCTCGCACTAAGCGTTTCGATGACTCTTTTATAATGGGAACAGCTAGGGACTGGAATTCGTTGCCTGCTGCTGTCTTTCCCGAAGACTACAATCCGGGCCTTTTCAAGGCGAGAGTGAATAGGCACTTACAGGGCAGATATGTACCATCCTAGACTGCATCCCACTTAACATCAGGTGCGATTGTGGTCAAATACCTGCCTTGTTATGCATAAAAAAATAAAAAAAATGCGAGAAGGAATAGGCACTTACAGGGCAGATACCATCACTTACTTTGAAGACCGAAAATATAGCGAAGAGATAACTACACGAAAGCTCAGGTCAGGAATGTTAAATATTTTGCCCAGAGACTGTGTTTTAAAGTGCCCTACTGTGTCTTCCTTCAGTCATGGTCTGCTGATGGCGATCCTACCTGAGGTTGCGTCAGCAGAAGGTCGGTTCCGATCGAATCAATAAACAGTAATTAAGCTTTTTATGTCGCTTAAAGAACAACCAACGTTAGCTTGACAATAAGGCGTAGCGCGAATAATCTTGAGCGTACTGATTATGATACTAGTAGGTAAATAAGTAAATACTTTTAAAAAATCGAACTGCCTGGTGGGAATCAAAACCACGACCTTTCGCTTGCTGGGTGACTGCTCTTCCTTCTCGGTTACTTAGACACTGGATGAACCCATCAAAGTTTTCAATACACTGTTATAATTTTGTTTGTGATGTGATTTCATTAGCAAGCTAAAGTGGCAATGGGCAGGGCACATAGTACGCAAAACTGACGCCCGATGGTTCTGGAGTAGAGGCTGCGTACCGGAAAACGCAGCGTAGGACGTCCACCCACAAGGTGGACCGACGACATCATAAAGGTAGCAGGAAGGCGCTGGATTTGGGGGAGGCCTATGTTCAGCAGTGGACGTCCTATGGCTGAGATGATGATGATGTGATTATTTACGCTAAGAAATTTTAATAACAATACATATTCTAATTGGTATTAAGTTATGCCAAAAGTTGACAGGAAATTCCAATTAGATAGTCTGACTCATGGTCAGAACATCTGCCTGTATTTTTACATAAGTAATTTGGGTACTTATTATACTTTACTGACATTTATTTGGTACTACCTTACCTATTACTGCTAATTACATAATCTAAAGGGCAGTGTAACAATTTTATTGATGCTTTTATATTATTATTTCTAAATTAAAGTCACATTTATTATATGAAGTTGAAATTTTAATGACTGTTTTCTTTCAGCTTAGGGATATTTGATTAGTCTCACTTATTTTTATGAATAGTTTTAGGTAGCTTAATTAGATAAATGCCTTATTTTCTTTTGGTTAATTTAATGACAGTCTAGACATTTTAATTTGCTCTAGGACCAACTTTGCCTTTACTTGTTGGGTTTTTATTAGAAATCAAGTTGTAAAACCTGTCTGTACACATTAATTGCAGTGGTACAAATGAGATATAGAAATGATCCTGACATAACAATTGGCTAAGTGCTATTTTATTTATTAGGACAATATAAATATAAGGAAAATAATTATTATATGTAAAAATGCTATAATACTATTGATTATCAAAATAATATTATTTAAGTCCACTGGTTATTTCAATAAAATCTTCAATAGAATCTATGTAAGTATTTTTTTACATTTATTGAACATACACACTCACCCACAGGCTTTGCGTAATAAATTATACTGATATGTGTATAATGGTATTTGATGACTAGACTTGAAATTTGAATACAAATTGTATTTTTGCAAACAAGTAACAAAAGAAGAGAAATAAAAGGGTTCACAGTATGGCGTAAGTAGTGCTTGAAAAAGTGTATTATTGTAATTTTTATACGAGTTCATTATTCTTTATTTATTATGTAAATGAATTGAAAATTCATTTCAGCTGTATCATCTAAACGCCGCTTTATCTACTGAATAATTAATAACTACAATTTAGATATGTTTTTCTAGCTAGTTATTATGTTAAATAACTCTAGTAATATTGTGTAAGGCCACAATAAGAGCTATTATCGAACAAAACCACAAGTAACCTTCAGGCACGTGTACAACAGGCCAACTTTCCTCGAAAACCGACGGCGAACGCACGTCGCAAGAATTGTCATAACATGCACGATTATTGTGAGAAACCACCACCAAACAGGGTCCAGTTACATACAACAGCACCTAGTTTTAGAATAACAGCACACGTGCAGTATCAGATCGATAGAACAACTCCATGACTGCATAAATAAAACACTGCAGATGGGAACACCTCAGATCGATTCGCACACGTTTCCGTCTTTCCCATCTCTCTGTATGCCCTCATAATTGTTACGCAAGTCGACTGAACAGTAGTGAACGACACTGGCATAGAATTTCCCAGTTGCTGATACAGAAAAACAGTTTTACTCACCAAAATAAGCGATGGTAAATGAAACCGATGATACCCACTATAAGTTAGATCTATTACAATACACAATACACTAATCACACTACACCGATAAATAACTAGAACGAATAGTTATGAAATTATCTTAATTATAACTATGTCTCCTTTGTAATTCAGTAAAATAATCTTATTTTTTAATCGCGCAAAGTGCCACTGTTTCACTCGAACTTGAAAAAAGTACAGTCTCTGACATATCCGTCAGAGGCGCTAGCGTCGATTTTTGACATTTCCATGAAGCTACAGATAAAAATGGAGGGCAAAGTTGGGAACAAAACTTGAGTCAAATACCTACTTATATCTATCTCGCTCTCTGTGGCCCTACCTCTCTTTTTAGTGTGAACTGTAGTATTGCTATCTTCTTATTTAAATCTCCTTGTAAATTCTTCGAAATAGCCAATTCACTAACCAAATAAGAAGTTAAATAAATAAATAATTAATATTTGAAACTTAGATTACCTAGTTAAATAAAAAATCACAAAATTGTCGGCCATTTAGGCTTAATGTGTTGGCGAATCAGGGAATTACAATCCCAATTTCTGAGGTATCGGTAATGTGGCAACATCGGCCGAATCCGGCCCATCATGGCCTGTCCGTCTGTCCGTCTGTCCGTCTGTCACAGCCGATTTACTCGGAAACTATAAGTACTACAGTGATGAAATTTGATGGGAATATGTGTTGTATGAACCGCTACAAAATTATGACACTAAATAGTAAAAAAAAGAATTGGGGGTGGGGCCCCCCATACATGTAACTGAGGGATGAAAATTTTTTTTCGATGTACATACCCGTGTGGGGTATCAATGGAAAGGTCTTTTAAAATGATATAAAGTTTTCTAAAAAACATTTTTCTTAAAGTGAACGGTTTTTGAGATATCAGCTCTCAAAGTCGTAAAAAGTATGTCCCCCCCCCTCTATTTTTATAACTACGGGGTATAAAATTCTAAAAAAAATAGAGGTGATGCATGCTAATTAACTCTTTCAACGATTTTTGGTTTGATCAAAGTATCTCTTATAGTTTTTGAGATAGGTTGATTTAACTGTTGCTGCTACGGAACCCTTTGTGCGCGAGCCCGACTCGCACTTGGCCGGTTTTTTATCTTTAGCTTCATGGACATTTCACATCTGGGCAGTTGGTTCAGAAATTTGAGTCGTACCTACATGCAATGCATTATTAATTTGAATCACTAAAATTCAAATACTTTAGACTTAAATAATACATAATACCTATCTCTAATTTCCATCTACCTATTTTATTTATTAAAGTTATCGTTATAAATGTTTGTTTCTGATCAAGTACTTAAAGTGTCAATCAAATAAAAAAATAGATTAGAAATGTCCAATTATCGACATCTGCAGTTGGACAGTAATCGATAGATTTGAATTTTGAAATAGAACTGTGGTGGACTGCAGTGGACTGTATGCGTTTGTGTGTGTTCGAGAGCGCTGACCGGACGATGATGACTGCCGTTGAGAGCTTGCCCTTACTATGTCAGGCGTAGTAGGTGCTACTTGCAGGAATAAAACCACTATTTCACTTGCTGAGACTTCTCGCGTTTATTATTCGCTTCCTTTTCTCAGTTCTTGCTTCTTCAGATCACTTGTTACTTGGAGCACTTGTTCTCTGAACTGAACACAACATCAACAACATTAAATAAACTTAAACTTGTCTCCCGGTTTTTTTTTTTTTTTTGAAGGGACGCGCGCTGGTAGCTTGAGGAGCTTTTCCAGCTTCACCGGGCAGAGTGGCGAGTACAGAAGGTACTCTAGCCGTTGGCGATCGTCGGTCGCAGACCGACGTTCGCGATCGGGCCGTATCGAGCGCATAAGGCGCCCGATCAGTGGCGAATCCAACTAGAGGGTTGCCCACCGCGGTGTTGGACCCAAGTCCAGCCTACGGCGGGCTCACTCTAGTGGGCCCGATCGAGGGGACTACGGACGCGGCCTGAGGGCGCCACGGTAGGCTCGGACCTCGGCTCAGGCCGTGTCCGGGGGACGGATAGGGGGATAGGCTCGGACCTCGGCTCAGGCCGTGTCCGGGGGACGGATAGGGGTGTCTCCCGGAGCGGCTCGCTCTGTATTTATAGGGCCCCGGGCTATATCCATCCCTTTCTCTCCCGATATTCCTGTCTCTGTCTCTCATGTTCTGGACCATAGTTCTGGAATGTTCGAAGCGAGAGGTCCGATGTTGTTGCCGTCCCGTTTCTTTTTCTCTCGAATATTCCAGAAGTGTGTGGAAGAGTAATTGATGTGCAAGCGAGATGACAGATAATGTGAGAAAGAGATGTAATGTTATTTATCTCTAATCGACTCTAATTGGTTATTTTACAACATTATCTGACTTTTAATGTTGTTAATCGATTCTAATTAATAAGTTAGCGTATTTCCTTGGTCGACGTCGCTAACAAGAACTGTAAGAAGAAAAAGTAAAGGATTTTTTTCGTCATTTTCATTATTTATCTTCAGAGTAACAAAAGCTATAGTAGTCTAACTTAACCTTTGACGGTTATTAGAAACCACAAACTTGTTGAAGTACTTAATCATCATTAAGAAGCCGCTTGTCAGAATACTCTGTGCATTGCTTTAATGGCAATAAACATTTTTGGTTATGCTCGAAGTTACCCTGCGTGATCGTATCAGAAATGAGGAGATCAGCACTTCCACAGGAGAACCAAAGTGACTGACATAGCTCGCAGAGTTGCTAAAATGAAGTGGCAGTGGGCGTAGAGACGATGACCGTTGGGGCAGAAAAGTTCTCGAGTGGCGACCGTCGACCGCGGGCCGAAAGACGTAGCGTGAGCGGGCCTCCCACTAGGTGGACCGAGAATATGGTGAAGGTCGCGGGAAGAGCCTTGATGCGGGCAGTGCAGGACCGGTCATTATGGAAATCCCTGGGGGAGGCTTTTGTCCAGCAGTGGAAGTCATTTCGTCCCTCGCATGACTAACTATTCTATCTCAGTCTTTTGGCGATTTGATAGCTCAAGTCCTAACGGACTACAAATTTTTTCCTGCTTCCATTGTCTACGATTTTCTCTAACTCACGTATCTGTATGTACCTATTTTTCCTCCCACGAGGTCCGTAAAGTATAAACAGAAACTAAATTTTAAATGACCTTACTGAAAACCCGTGGTTTTGAGAAAGTGGCAAAACTGAGATAGGATAGTTAGTCATGCGAGGAACGATTTGGCTGAAACGAACGAAACATTTTTATTTTATTCAACCTTTACTTTTTATTGGTTTAATAAAATAAAAATGTTTCGTAGATACAAAAATAAAATGGTAAGGTATACATTGAGGTCCATTTATAAAATGCGAGAAAAATTCTACCAGTGAGAACAGTGATCCTAGATTCCTGTGTTAGTGCAAAATAATCATCGACGTTGATTTTTCGGGACATAACATACATCACTTCACTTGAATGAATTGAACTGTCAATGTCAAACTGATAATGAGTAATCAGAGGAATTTTGGTATTTTTACAGGAAAATCCCAAAAAATAATTCTGCACAAAAATAACAAAAGTAATTATAGCTGAAAACAGTAGTTGCCATGTCATAGTTCTAGATTTACTAAAGAAACTTCGATAGTTTTGAACAAACATGTACAAAAACATTGAATTGAGGAAGCTGCCTGCTGGGTCTCTAGTGAGGGTGACAGAGACGCTAGAGATCAACGATGCCTGGAAGAAGGTGATGAGCCGAATCCCCAAAAACTTGGACGATGATAAGTTTGAACCGAAATATAATAATGAACACGAGGAGTAAGTTTTGGCAAATTCAATAATAAAGTACATTAGCCAACATTGTACTGTCTGTATTATGTTTTCTTCCCAGCACTGGCCCATTTATTGTCCCGAAGCAGTGGTAGGGTTAATATTGGGACGTGTAAGTGCTTTTTAAAAGCCTATTTGCAAAAATAAATGAGTTAGAGTTTTTATATTCACAAATAGTTATTCAAATTAGCGACACTAATCCTAAAAGGGCTAAAGGACATTTATTCAAATCAAACATGTATGAATTTGTTGTTTTTCTACACTAAGGCCTCAAGCACTTGTTTTTGTCTCTTGATGTCTTTTTCAACCCAAAAACCCTTGAATTAATTTCTTGTATGTTTCAGAGCTATTGCTAGAGATGCTAAACACACAAATAGGTTCTGCGCAGAGATACTGTTCGATGAATGGGCTACGTCAGGCAAAGTACGACCAACTCTAGGCACGTTGCAAGATATAATAAAAAAAGCGGGCATTTTAAAAGCTGCTGACGAGATAGCACAGATGTTGCAAGGTATTAATAATTTTCTTTTTAACCGACTTAAAAAAAGAGGAGGTTCTTAATTTAAATTATTATTGAATGTGATTAACAAATTTTTTATGTTGATAAACACTGTATCCTGCAAATGTCAGCTAATCATAGTAATGTATCACTTTTGGCAATAGTAGATAAATAATAATCCAATCTTTGAACTAAATTAAGGTTTTTTTGTTTATTTTAGAAAACAAAGTATCTGATTATTTAAACCAAAGTTATATTTTGCATTACATAAATACATGATGATTGATAGTAACACTATAATATTACTATTATGTATGTATAAATTCTCTTATTATGTGTATATTTAAACTTTGCTTTTATCCTTTATAGAATCACCTGTTACAAGGCCTGATGAAGGTCCAGGAATGAAGATCAATACCAGCATAACTGAAATATTGAACGAGAGTAGAGCGCACAACAACGTCACAAAGTCCAAGAAGGACAAAACCGAGTCCACAGCTCAAATGAAATCATTAGACATCCCCAGCTTCTTCAAAAAGTTAAAGTCAAAATCGATAGGCAACAAGACAACTCAGCAAATGCAGTCCGAAGGGGAACATTACGCAATCTACAACAATGATAGCAGCTATTCTAACGAAGGCGTTCCCAATATTCCAAACCTAAGCAGACTGATCAAACCTGGAAACAGTCAGAAAAATACTATACCCTATCCAAGACAACTAATCAAGATTGATACCGATATCCTGCAGAACAAAACGCTTATTCAGTTCGATTATAACGAGTTGAAGGACATTACCTGTGGGTTTTCAAAAGACTTTATCCACGGCCCAACCGGTCCTACAGGAATGATTGGCAGCGGTGGGTTCGGTGACGTATATGCTGGCTGGCACAGACATCACGGTACACTTGCTGTGAAAAGGTTCAAGAACCTCGGTATGATGACAGAGAAGCCAGATTTTATGCTGCAAAGCTTTAATTCAGAAGTCAAGTTTCTTGCTCAGTTGCGGCATGACAATATAGTCCCTATTATTGGTTATAGCATACAAAAAGAAATGTCATCGTTTCCATCACTGTGTATTGTATGCCAGTACATAGATGGAGGTTCTTTAGAGCAAAACCTAGCAGCCAAAAGGCTGAGCGAGAAGCAGAGGTTAGAGATAATGCTAGGAACCGCTAGAGGGTTGAAATACATACATAACACGGAGATTTTGGATCCGGACAGCACAAGTGCGGACCCTGAAGCAAATAAGGTGCAGTTTATACATGGAGACGTGAAGACTGCGAATATTTTGCTGACAAGGGATTACAAACCTAAGGTGAGCATCATTCATTCTTGTTATTTTCCTCTGGTACTTGCATAGATGATATTTTAAAGTTTCAGTAAAGAATTAACCTGTTTATTCACCTCTAAATTGATCAAATCAAAAATTCAATCTTGACCAGTATTTTGGCACTTATTGCCTCATAAATTGGAGTTAACGTCAGAAACTCTTATAATTCCAGAAATTCTGGTATTTTAGCATAAAAACAAATAAAGGATAATGTATTTTATTTCTCCAACAAAAATTCATTGATTTCCAACTGCAAGTTTTTGTACAACTGTCTAAAATAAAAATATCTCTACATAATTTTAAATATTTTTCAGCTCTGCGACTTCGGTCTAGCGAAACCTTTCAAGACCACAGAGATCACGCAGTCACTGATCGGCACTAAGCCCTACATGTCCCCAGAACGCTTGCAAGGCACCGTCACCCAGAAAATGGACGTCTACAGCTTCGGAATCGTACTCTTGGAGCTACTAACCGGCCTCCAATGCGCCATCAAGTTCAAAAGCATACAACACTATATAAAAGAAAAAGCACCGAACGGTGATATTACAGAATTATTAGATACAGTGGCCCAACCTTGGTCGAAAGCGCAGGAAGTGTATGAGCTAGCTAAAAAGTGTCTCGTTGAAGATTATATTCTGAGGCACTCGATTGACCAAGTGTATGAAGAATTGATTAGGATAAATGAGGAGTATAAAGACGTGGTTGTGACGAATGATGCGGACAAGATGTGATGATCTACACGCTCGATAAATGAAAGATGAGTTCAATATAGTTAATTAGACAAGTCTGTAAAATTGTTAGTTGCTCTAAGTTATTTTTAGAAGGACAAGAAGGAATTTTGCAGAAAAAACGACGAAAACTACTTCGATTAGTGGCCAATGACCGCAAAAGTTATAAATGGTTTTAAAAAATGACAACTTTGAGAAATGATAATAATAATTTAATTTTTTGGGGTAGAAGAGGCCCGAAAAAATCATGAAACAACTGCATTTACTTAGCATTCCCTTAAATTACGTAAATTTAACGCCATCTAGTGGGACACACATTCAAGTTTATATCATCCGTGAACCCCTCGGTTCTGAATTAAGATTTTTTAGCCTTTTAACTTTAAAAAGTTTAAGTGAACTTTGAGAAAAGTCAGAAACTGGGAGAGACTTACACATTTTAAGAATAAAATCAAAAGTAAATAGGAAAGATAGATTTATTTGATAGGTAAAAAAATGAAAAATGTACGTATTTACTTGTTCGTTCGATCGTTTCAGCCAAATGAAGTCCACTGCTGGACAAAGGCCTCCTCCAAGGCCTTTGTCCATTTACTTGTTAGATCAAGATAAATATAGAAATATATTTTTATATTATTATTACGATAGAATATTTTTATTATTAAGTTTATATTTTTATATTATTATTACGGTAGAATATTTTTATTATTAAGTTTTTCGATAAGTTATTAAGTGTTAAAAATATTTCTACATGTTTTATGTATGTAAAAAAATAATGTGCTTCCAAATACAAATAACTTCAGTAAAACTTAAGTTTAAGGGAAAGAGATTACCTAAAGTGCCTATCTATACATTTTTAAACAATTAAGTGTATTGTAGAATTGTGTTTCATGGCCAACCATGAAAAAAAAATGTTGGTATGTGTTACCTATGATGTATGTTATATAAATATTATTTTTGTCCGTTTATTAAAGTGGATTATTGTAATTATATTGTTTTATTTTGATTTTGTTTGTAAAACCAGATTTGTAATAAACGCTAGCATCCACTGGTATCAGTCATATAAATCTACCTATTGGGTTATCTATATTTCGGGATTACAATTATTACAAATTGTGTTTTTAAATGTGAAAGTTTAATAAAATTAAAATTACAATACAATTGATTATTGAAATCATCTGCACATCACTAACGTCAAATAGTGTTGTTAAATAATCGATTAAATCCCTGCCCAATTGAATAGTTTGGTGAGGCTATTAAAACTATCGATAATTAATCGATTATAAAGTTATATTCGTAATCTCTGCTATCGCGTTGTTAAAAAGGGTGTTTTTTTTAGAGGTATACAACTTTAAATTGCTTACACTGTTTCCAGTGATAGTTAATATTTTGATAGTTGGTGGTACATTTCTAGACAGTATGTTTTGACATTTCATAATTAAACAGAATTATTTTAGAACAACGCTTGCAAATTGTGCAAAAATGTATTTTGAAAATCATGGTTCAGTTGTCATTAAAATTTATTATCGAATGAGTCGCTTCTCAAACTAAATTTTAAATAAACAACTTGAAAAAATCGAACTGCCTAAGGCGGTTCAGTTTTTCATACAAACGCCCATATTACGGTCGACGTAATTTTCGATACTTTTTATTCCTTAGATGAATGATATTGACGTGGCAGAGCTGTGGTTTCAACAAGGTGGTGTAACCATCCAACCAGCACGTGTATAGGTACAACCATCGAATCATTCGTGGAGCGCATAATTTCACGTAATGGACCTTTGAATTTTCCTCCACAATCAGGTGATCTCACACCTATGGATTTTCTTTGGGGATATGTGAAGTCTACTTCTACGCAGATAAACTACAGAAATCAATTCCAACATTATTGCCGATGTATGGCCCCAGTTGCTCGAAAAATAAATTGAAAATTAGACACCTGAACACCTCGATTAAGCTACATTTGAACCAAGGGTGCCACCCTTAGGCTCGAAATCATTTGAAGCATAAATGTCATAAGAATACCTTTAAACAATACCAATACCATTTTTTTTTCGTGTCAAACCCTTTATTAATCGATAATTTATAATAATCGATATGCTATTGGTTTATATTTATATGCTCAGCTCAGCACTACACTACAACTGTCAAAACTGCATTGTTGTGTGTTGTGTTTACTTTACTTCTCAAACTGAAGCCGTGGTATTTTCTCTCTAAAATCGAGGTTTTTATAAAGTTATAACAAAAGTAATCATGATAGCAGGAGCGCGGATGGCCCGCTTAGCTCGTGAAGTGAAGAACTTTGAAACTAAGCCGCCGTGGGGCATATCTTGCCATCCAGAGAAGCCAGACAGCTATGACGTGCTTACAGTCACTTTGCTCGGTCCTAAAGGGTCTCCGTACGAGAAAGGAAGGTTTAAACTGACCATTACCATCCCTGAAAGGTATCCCTTCGAGCCGCCACTGTTAAAATTCAATACACCAGTTTACCATCCGAATATTGATAAAGGTACGTTTGTATGTAAATACTTGGTACATTGCAAATAAAAGTTGTTGTAGTCTTTAAACGTCCGTACATAGATGAATAGTGTTAATTTTGAGTTAAATGTACTTTTAGTTAAACATATCAGTTACAGTACTAAATTTTAAGACTAAATTATTTTAGTTTTTGTGGTATTATTTGATTCTTTGTTTTATAGGTGGCCGTATTTGCATGGACATGCTCAAAATGCCTCCGAAAGGCGGCTGGCTCCCGACAATCACTTTGGAGACCCTCCTGGTCTCTCTGCAGACGTTGCTTGCGAACCCCAACCCCGACGATCCACTTATGATGGACGTAGCCAACGAGTACAAGTATGACATTGAGACGTTTTTGGAGAACGCTAAAAAGCATACTGAGAAGCATGCAGTAGGCACTGTTAAGTTTAATTAAGAAATTGTTGTGGAAGATATTATTATCATCTCAGGAAGTTTTTTATTACACGTAATGCATCATCTGACAGAAAGTTCGTAACCGGAAATTACTCACAATATACCTAAAAATAGATTGAAGTTTGTGTTAATTACTCCTATTAATGATTACACTAGAGTTTTGTATTACGTTTCATAATAATGTATGTACAAGGTAGTTAACTTGGTCCCAATAGTAAAGATAAATAATTTACTTACTTTATCATAAAACGTTAAACAAAACCCATATTGTTTGTTTTAGCTGATTGACTTTCTGTCAAATGATTATTATTCCATTTGCTTAGTTATAAAAAAAGAGACAAGAATCTATAAAATTTATCTATGTTTAGCAAAACAAGCAAATATCTAAAATTATATTAGATAAGTTTGGTGTTTTTTTGAAATTCTGAGAGATGATTTTATTGTTAAGAATAAAATGTGATCAATAAGTTGAAATTATAAAAGTATGTAAGAAAAAGAAGTTGTTTGTAAGCATATTTGTATTTTTATAAGTTAAGACAATAATAATGGTAACACAAGTTATTTTGTTGTATTGCTTTTGGATTACTTTTTAAATGTAATCCATGGAACCCCAAATAATCCTAAATGACACTTGTAGCAAGTTATTTCTTTATCGGAATGTTTCAATTTTCAGTAACAAGTAAGTTTGTAACTTGAATAATGAGAATCCATTAAATATAATACTTTTCTATACCATGCATAGTAACTTTCCTTAGTCCTAAATTAGGCTTTTCACTGGCAATGATTAGCATACAATCTTCAGAATAATACTTGTTTGATACCAAGTTTTTAAATTGTAGTCTTCAGCCTGTGTCAGTGCTGCTATCGTCACCAGAACTTGCACTTTCTGTTTCTGAAGAACTACTATTTCTTTTCGTTTTTTTAACATTATCTGGTTTAATTTCTGCATTGGAAACACTGGGACCATCTTGAGTACTGCTATTATTGTTGCTTGCGTCAGTTTGTGGCTTGATGACTTTCTTTTTTTTCTTATCGTCACTAGTGGTAGGTTTCAAAGTCTCTGTGGAGACAGTAGCGACCATCTTGGACTCTATCCTGGTCTCTGAAGGCTTGAAATCATCTTCTTCTTCTTCGTCCAGAGGTTTTCTGCTGGCTATTGATGCTGCTACTGCAGATTTGTATGCTTCAGGGTATTGAGTACTGAAAACATTACAAAATATGACATTACTTTCTATACTGCAAGTATAAACAAATTTATACCTATTTCTATTGATCACAGAGTGAAAAATCTAATCTATCTGGCAGTAACTAGATAAATATGTATTCTAGTGCTAAAAATGTAAAAGAAATACCTTAGTTTAGTTTTAATAGCCCTTATTTTCTTGAATATAAACTCAAGATCCTTTCTCATCTCCATTAGGAGTTGTGTGTGCTTCTTGAATTCAACGGAAGCAGCACGCAGACGGCTGGCAGACAGCTGGTTGCAGTTTGTTAGCATTTCTGTGGTTTTCTCGAAGCGTTGTAGCCTGGAACATAGTTGGTAGATAATAAACAACTGCATCTTAATGACATGTAGGTATAAATACATACTTTTTTCACTACTGTTTACTGTATAAATTTGTGAAGAAAGAAACCAGTATTATATTATAAGTAAGAGGTTTTTTAGGAAATTTAGCATTTTACCCTTACACTAAATTACCTATATTAGTGATTTTATATAGAAAATAAGACTAATAATAACGAAAACTTACATGTTTTTCTGTGCCCGTATAATGGTTTCTACGTCTGTCTGGTCGACCATTCCCGCCAAACCTTGCACGAAAACCTCCGGGGCCGAGTAGTTTTGGAAGCATTCTATCGAAAAATCACTCTCTGGGGTCTCATTTGCCATTTTTGTTGAAATTTTTTAGGTCTTTGATCGATACATTAGTTCGCTGCTGTAGGGTTTAATTTATCAGTCTACAGGATTTTCACAGGTGCCGATTGAAAATATCTTGAAATTTCTAAGCGCTTTTGGCTCAAAATAACCAGATTTTATGGTAATTAAAGGAAAATAAAATACCAAGAAATAGAAGGTAGGATTCATTGAAAATTAATACCTGTCAAAAACAACACATCAGTCAATATGTCAAAGTGACTTTAGCTTCGTGTTTACGAAGCTAATTCTTTGTATTCAGTTTCGTTTTTTGAGAATATTTTTTTTAGGCTGGCTTCCAGTGTTGCCAGTCGGGTCTAGTCAGAAATTACCAGAAATATAAAAAAAGTAACCTTTTTGAATCAAAAGTNTTAAAAAAAAAGAAATCTGGGGGGGGGGGGGGGGGGGGGGTGCGGAGCGATGATTGTGTAAGGTTGTTCATGGATGGAAAATGAATACATCTAAATTCGAAAAGTGACCAGTCGTATAAAACGTTTCATGGATTTGCGTTTTATTATCGAAAAACATTCGCTAAAACTCGTTTTTTTTAACAAATAATAAATCAAATTCAAGTTTAAATGCACTTTATGACATAATTTTTAAATTGTCACTATTAATATTTTTTACTGAATAACCTGTAAAGTTAATTCTACAATTTCTAAAAAATCACCTAAAAGTAACCTTTTCATTAGTGTAACCTAAAAGTAACCACAGCAGTTCAAAAGTAACCTAAAAGGTTACAAAAGTAACCTTCTGGCAACACTGCTGGCTTCACACATAGAGTCCAAAAACGCTTTGTTAAGCGTGTGGAATGTGGATCGAGTAAATAATATTGGCACCATGTGGGACATCCTCATGTTGGCTCTGACGGGACAGGATTATGATACGAGTGTGTTGTGAATCAACGTGTGTACGCCTTACAAAATTAGCTGGTCAACGATATTGGTACGAGCATCCTGCCCCCGATAGTTGAAAAGGCGCATCTATCACTTTTTTCGATTACGAGTTAAACTCAAGAACAGCTAAGAATTAGCCATTTACATTTTTTGCGACTTTTTCTGTCCCCGATCTGAATTGGTGTTAGCCTAGGCGCAGACCATCGATTTTTCGTCGGCCAATAGTTTAGTCGGGCAGTTGATCAGTAAGGGCATGTTTGGCTGATTCTTCATACAAATTAAAATCGGGCCCAATTATCGGCCAACTAAAAATCGATGGTCTGCGCCTAGTCTTAGACGTGTCCTTTCAACTATATCTTGCTTGGGCAGCGTTGGCGGTAACGTGTGGTGCCGGTGTTAAAAATAAGTAGAATAAAAGAAACTAATAATTTAAAGTGAAAACGTTTATTTTAAACCATTATTCCACCTAAGGATTGACTTGACCCAAACCTTGAACTTGTAGTTGGAAGGGTACGCCGTATTCGTTCACGTTCTTTTGAACATTTCTTCTCCAAACGTTGGATTTATTCAGTTTTGACCTCTTTAACCTTTGTTTGTTTGTTAAAGGAAACATGCGCTTGCTTCTCAGATCCTGCCTTGAAACCTCTATTGCATTGTATACCCATCTTGGAACGTACACGTTGTTATTATTCTCATTATGAAAGAGTACTTCAGACTTCATACCGTCTCCCAAAACGATGTCCGTAACCTTCCTCTCTACTTCCCTGAGATTTGCTTCAGCGCCAAGTCTCTGCACTTCTGCCCTCACTTTCTGCAGCTGATACTGCTGTTTTGTAGAAAGATCCGACAAATCCTTCTTCCCTCTGCTATTCCTAACAAAATTCAGCGCATTCCCGATTACCTGCCTCTTCCTGGTTTCGAAAAACTCTGCCAGATCATTAGGTCTAATGGGATCATTTTTCTTGACTTTATTTTTGGTACTAGAGAGAAGTTCGTTGACGACCCGCGTGACTACGTCATCGTCATCCCTCGCTCTATTCAAATTAAGAACAACCGCGTCTAAATCTTTCTTATCTTCTTTTTCATCCGCAGATCTCGTGTCTCTATAAAAATAATCTGTATCTACCCGGTCCTGGTTCTGTTTGGATTTCTTCAAATTACCATTTAACGTGCCAAGGAGGCCTTTGAAATCGGAGATATCGACGACTATGGCGTCTAGGTCATCGTTGATTTTGTATTTGGTTCCAAACTGTTCGATTTGGGATTGTATGTTGGATTCTTTTGAGCGTTTCCCGCATCTGCCGTTTCGACATAGCGATTGGTCATCGTCTCTGTTTTCGGTTCTAGTTCGACCTCTGCAACCGCATCGCCCGTATTGGTCGCATCTCTCGGCACACCTCAACGGGTCTTTGTCTAATTCCTGTTCTAATTCATCCAGGATTTGCTGTACTTCGCTAATGTCTTCGCGATCATCTTGGCGATCTTCCTCGCGTTCCTCGCATCGGTCTCCCCTGCAGCCACAGCGGCCAGTTTTGCATATTCTGTCTTGTCCGACCCCTGTTCTCTGATCTTTCTTTTCTGCGTTGTTTTTTAAGAAAAGATTCAGAGTGTGTACATTTAGAAGACTGGCTAAATCGTTTCGTGCTTTTCCTAAATATGGTTTGTCCTGGCTGGGATATGCGTTCGTTTTGAGATGATTCACCAAGTTCTGGAAGCCATCGTCATTTAGACTATTGGTTTCTTCGTCACTCACGAGTCTTCTCTGAAGAGTGGAAGCCACAGCAGCAAGCAGAACTAGGAGTTGACACAATTTAGAAGACATTTTATTTTTGATTTTTTTAACTTGCCCACATAATTTAACAGTTCGAAATGGTTATAAGAAATGAAAAGTAATGATTGAATTTATCTTAGATATAAGTTTTCTTAATTAACCGTGATATTGGATTGAGTAATCGTAATCTTTAAAAACTTTAATTAAAAATCCCCCGTAAATTATAATTTCTTCTTATGACGTTCAGAAACTCGCACTTGAATGCAGTTTTGTAGAATTTAGTCGTTGTATCGATGGTCATTGTTTTAGGCTAAGTTTTTAGGACCCTGTTACAATATGCTTTTAAAATATTAGGTCCACTTAATAGGTAGGTATTTATCGCGTGAAATTGTAAGTTCGCGCCAATATACCATGGCAACTCAGTATATGAATCGTGTGAAACAGGGATTAATTAATCTGCCTCAGTGTCTAGATTGCTATAGTCGATGTCTGCCCCTAAGAGCCATCTCTTAGGGGCATAACTTAAATGGTGGTTTAAACTTAGGTCTAACTACTCTTTAATCTTTACAAGACAATAGTTTTCACTTGAAAAGATACAAGTGAAATAAAATACCTTTCGCATGACTTTACCACAGTTAAAACATTATTAATACATCGGTTTACCCTGTCAAAATTTGAAGAGCCGCCTATCATAAATCAGTGTTGTGTGTAATTTCTGCAAAGTCAGTCTATTCTAAACAATTAATAAAAAAGTTAATTAATTATAATGTTGCGTAACG